TCTGCACTGACAGCTTGCTCCAGAGAATCCGAGGAGTCAAGCCTTAAGGGTTGACTTTGCAGTCACACTGGTTTTACCCCCTCCAGTTTATTTATTTGTGTATTCTGTATGCATTCTGCACCTACAAGCAAAACACACATTTTTTTGAGCTAACTGGCTGCCAACTCCTCCCACCCTCCCTTCTTCCATGATTCTGCAAAAAATAGAAAGGGAAGGGAAGGGAGGGGAGGGGAAAATCCAGACCCACACATGCCAGACTGACACATCTGGGAGCAAGGAATCTCCTAGCCTAGTCCTTTATATTTACTGAGTCCTTCTTATGCTGTCTCTGGCTTTTTAAAAGTTTGCCTGAGAAGGAGGACGCATCCCCTTTTGTCTTTGGAGAAGGAGGGAAAGAAAACCGAACAGGGAGGGAGTGTGAACCTAAAGAGAGAGAGGTGGAAATGGGGGAGGGCAGTGGGCAGTACTTAAATACCCACAGAAACAATTTTACGTTAGAAAGTATTAGCAATTTGAAAGTAGGTGAGAACAAAGAATCACGCAAAAGGAGTTTTGATAGCTGCAACGTACTGGAAGCAGTCTGAATGCAAATTCCTGTAAAACAAATGCAGAAACAAGAGAAAGCCCCAAAACAAAGTGAAAGCAACAGCGGGAGGCAATGCAGAATGGAAGAATAGGATGCTCTCAGAGACCGAGGCAAAATACGGGTGCAGAAAGGTCCTAAGACTCTGGAGCAAGTAACAAGGGTCACTTCCCCCAGTGTCAAGAGATAGGCCTTTAAGAGATTTAAGTAGTTGCATGAGTCAGTACATTAGTTAAGTTTTAGCTGGATGATGTTAGGACGGCAGGTCAGCCAAACACGAACCACCTGCTATTAATTACTGGCTGCTGTAACTTCATACAGCTGTTAGCTGTCAAAACCTTAGCTTGACTAAGGCCCCGGTCACACGAGAGGTTTTGGCCCGGGAGAGGACGGATCGGGGGGCGGAGCAAACGGGCACGAGCACACTGCAACATCTGGGAAGCATGGCGTGCACCCGTCCCTGATTCGGCCCTTCAGGCCGAAAATGTGCATGGAAAAATAACCACCCCCAGAGGACTTACTAGATAAGCCGCAGCAAGCACGGCCGTCAGATCGCCGGCGCGCTCTTCTTCTGTAGCAACCCAGGCTCCCGTCCAAACTGCGCTTGCTCACACATGCGCAGTTCGGCAGTCTCTCTCCCCCTTCCGTAGCTTCCCCCCGCCATCTGATCGTGCCGGGGAGGAACTGCGTGGCGGCTCAGGGGATCTATGTGATCCCGCCGCCTCGTGTTTCCGAGGGGTTGCCACCAATGCACTTTGTCCATTCTTTTTCCCCACGTGTGGTAGGGGCCAACGAGATCTTTGACAACTTCTGATGTATATCGCCATGTGTAGATCACTGATTGGTTTATCAATTAGTTTGACACCTGAATGACTATTTAGCTGGGAGGCAGGCACAGAAAGGTTAGGCTACTTGTGGCCTGTTGCCACAAGTCGGTTGCCAAAACCAGAGAGAGAGAGAGCTTTCAAGGCAAGAATACTGCATCTGCTCGGAACAATTCAGGAGTGAGAAGCCAGGAGTCTTATAGGAGGGTTCCATACACCCTTCCTGGCAGAGCGTCAGGTAAGACGGACGGTGACCTTGGCTAGAGGATCATTGGGCTGGAAGGAGGAACAGCTAATTCCTTGGCACCAGCTCTGCTCCTTGAACTACTGCTACTTAGATCTATCAGCTCAGGTCTAGTAACATAGATAGTGAGGTTTCGTTTGTTTTGTCCTTTGTGCACTCCCTTTTTCCCTTACCAGTGTCTTGCCGCATGAGTCTTTTGGCCCAGGGATCTTTACCTGCAGCTGCCAGGAACAGAATCCCAAGCCTTCTATAGTAAAATTTTTCATCCTGAAAAAATGCTCTAATGGCATCTTGATTTTTGTTGGTTTTGGAGACTGACTTTTTTCCAAATAAGAAAAGACAAACCAGCTTTTAACTAGTTTATTTCGCAAATATTTGCCCCAACTTCTATCACTTTTTATACATTGCTTGTGAGGAAGGAAAAAACACATTATACATATATATTCCAACTATCTATAAAATAGAAGGGTTTTTCACAGCACATCAGTCCCAGTGAGGAAGTAAAAAGAACCCAAGTCTTGTTTTGGCACTACAAACCCCCACCCCCCAAAAAAAGAAACACAAATTTTGTTTTCATAAGCATGGGGCCAAGGTTTAAACCTTCACTTCTGCCATGAAAATATTTTACATGTATTTCCTAAAAGTTTTAGAGTTTGGCAAGATGCTAGTGTGGAGTTCCATCCAGCCAACTTTTTCACTCGGTCACACAATTCCCCTTCTTGCTATAGCCCCCATCCCACATGCCTTGGTTCAGGCAGGTCCCATGATCCAAGGGGTTGCCACCAATGCTCCCTCTAAGCTGTGGAGTCTTGTGAGCAAAAATTCTACTTTGTAAGCTACTGGCATCAAAGTTGTGAGCGAGCGATTTGGTTACTGGATAACTCGAGGGTAAGTGTATAAGAGGGTAGCTGCCTAAGGCTGCCATCCTAAGCACACTTACCTGGGAGTAAATCCACTTGAACTTGATGGGATTTACTTCTGAGTAGACATGCTCATGATTGCCTGTGGGCTGAATTCCATTGTGTCCTTGCACAATGGAAGTGCTAAAATTGTTCCCTGATGTCCACTTGCGTTAAAGGAAAACATTTGGGTCCTATCTTTTCTGCATGTGCTGCAAGACACATCACAAGGTATATCTTCTGATACCATTTCAAAAGCAAAAAATAAATAAAATAACATGAACCATCTGTTGTACATTCTATTGCTCCATATGCATATTGTTTAATTAAAAATTATTTTGAAGTGCCGTGCATTACTGGCCTGCGCCAAAGGAATTGGGTTAAGTGCATTTTCCTGTCTGCTCATGCATCACTGGATCCAATCATGTATCTTTCAAGAGTGGGAGAAAAATCTACACAGAAAAAGATGACTTACAACCCTGTGGTATCTGAATCAACCCACAGATGATGATGCTCAAACACACTTTGCTTGCTGCTGCCACTCATTTTCACCCCAGGCCATGCAACAGGAATATCTGAAAGCAACAGGTATGGGGGAGGGGATGTCATACATCAAGCTCCTTCCTGGAAATCCTTCAGAAATGGAAAATCAAAAGGGGCAAACAGGCTAGACCCCACAGGTGTATCTTAACAGCGCCTTCCAGTTTTGGGCCACAGCTTCATTTTTTGAGCCTGTGAGCACCTTCTGAATTCTGACAGAGCGTGGTGCATGCAAAATGGCTGCCACAGGAGGCAGAGCCAGCCATGACCTTCAGTCATGTAGTGAAGATCCTTGTGTTGTGATGGCAGCTCCTGCCAAAGCAGCAACGTTTTAAAAAAAATCTGCACAGCCAATCAGAAGCCTTGCTGGGCAAAAGCCCCGCCTGGCCCCACCCACTTTCTAAAAACACTTGGGGCAGGTAACCAGTAAAGGGGTTGGCAGGCACCATGGTGCCCACATGCTCTGACACAGTCCAATGTATTCCATACTGCAGAATGTCACCTGAAGGTGTGGAATTGGCTGGAGGATTTGGCTTCCTGAGAATCACACCTTTCGCTGGGGAAAAAAATTTTTCGGGCTACAGTGCTTGTGGACGATGCCCGATGAATCTCAGAAGCAAAAGGAGAGAAGGCAATGGATCCGGTGCCCAGCATAGCTGCTTTCCTGTCCCCAGGCCTCAAAAGCAACAGGAGAGGCTGCACTGCAGTGACAGGGTATGTGCTTTGCACGTAGTAGGTCCCTGGTTCAAACCTGGCCCTCTCCAATCAGAGTACAGCCAAATGTGAGGAAAGACCCTTTTCCGCTTGAAAGCCACTGCAAGCACACGGCACAGACAACAATGAACTAGCAAGACCGGCGGTCTTCTTGCAAAGTGGCCAGTTTGGTGCAGTGGTTAAGTGTGTGGACTCTAATCTGGGAGAACAGGGTTTGAGTCCCCACTCCTCCACTAGCAGCTGCTGGATGACCTTGGGCAAGCCATAGTTCTGTCAGAGGTGTTCCTGAAAAAGAGCAGTTTCTGTCACAGCTCTCTCAGCCCCACCTACGTCACAGACGGGGTTTCCTTCGTTACACGCACTGAAAGATAAGTTGCGTTGTATGGCTGGCAGACCAGCAATTACCAAAACACAAACCACAGTGGACCAAGAGAGACATGAACCAGAAACCACTCTCAAAGGGCTCGTTTGCTAAAGTCTCACAAAGTCCTTTAAAAAATATCGTCACTACTATGGGGGCTAAACCTTACTTTAAGACAAAAACCCAATATAAAAACAGAATTAGGCAATTAGACCTATTAAGTAAGCAAGAGCTGTCTCCTCATTGGAACAGGATTACTGCGTCCTGGGCTTGAACCCTGCATCACAGTGAACCTGTTCAAATCTTTTCTGTGTTTCAGTTGGGGTTTCTCAAAAGCATGTTAAAAGGAAAACCAGGGTGAAGATGGATGTAACCTTCCAAGAGGAACAAGTGTCAGTTTTCCATCTGTGGGACAACGCCTGCCCCCCCCCCCCACGCCAGAGGTATGTACTGTGAACTCCTAGCTGGACCTCCTGAATTGCCCCCCTGCATGTTGTGTCTAAAGAGAAGTTTGGGAGCCAAGTGCCAGAAATCCTATTGGACTGCTTGGTCATTCCGTAACCAGGGATGGCTGAGCCCCAGACTGTCTTTGGTTTCTTGAACAAAGTGAGAAAGCTAGGCTGAGGGAACGTGGTTAGAAGGGCATTGCCTCAGGGGTTTTCGTTTCAGCCCCCTGAGGTTTCAGTCGTGCACCTTTAGTGGTGCTCTGTAATCTCGGTTGCAATCCTTGGTCAGCCACAAAGTTCACCCCTTGAGCCAATGTCTTATTGGAAACACTTCTACAGTCCATTTGTTGCTAGCAGGATTAGCCAGGATTTCTCCTTGTTTCGTCAGCTCCTTCAGTCCATAGCGACCATGGCAGCAAGGGCAGACTCCTCCCTGCTCTTTTCTGTGTCACTGGGCTGGTTTTGAGGCTCCATTACGATTGGGAGACACAGGACTGGGGGCACCCACACCAGCTGGGGAGGCCCAGCGGCTGCTTCAGGGTGGCTCTTGCTCTTGTGAGCGGTGACGTTGTCTTTCTTCTCAAACTTCTTGCCACAGAGGTCGCAGGAAAACTGGTAGAAGGAGTCCGCATCGTGCTTCTTCATGTGCCAGTTCAAGGAGGCCTTCTGGCGGCAGGTGAACCCACAGATCTCACACCTGTGTGAAGAGGAGGGATGGAGGACAGAATCACACGCAAGTACTGCCATTCCAAGAAGAAGAAGAAGAAGAAGAAGAAGAAGAAGAAGAAGAAGAAGAAGAAGAGGAAGAAGAGGAAGAAGAGGAAGAAGAGGAGGAGGAGGAGGAGGAGGAGGAGGAGGAGGAGGAGGAGGAGATTGGATTTATACCCCGCCCTTCACTTGGAGTCTCAGAGCGGCTTACAAACTCCTTTCCCTTCCCCTCCCCACAACAGACACCCTGTGAGGTGGGTGGGGCTGAGAGAACTCTGACACAAACTGCTCTTTTTTTCAAGGACAGCTGTGCCAGAGCTTGTGACTGACCCAAGGTCACACCAGCAGGTGCAAGTGGAGGAGTGGGGAATCAAACCCGGTTCTCCCAGATTAGAGTCCGCGCACTTAACCACTACACCAAACTGGCTCTCCAGAGGAGACCAACGACCCATTTGGATCAGTATTGTCTCTCTGTCAGTGGCCAGTCAGGGGGGCACCAAGAAGTTCACAAGGGGGATGGGATGGCTCTCACCATTTTCTCCTGTTTGTCCTCCACATCTTAGGGGATAACCTTCTCTTTGAACATGGAGAGTGTGATTTGAGTTACCTCCGCCATACGATCTAACGTTTTTAAAAAGCCATTTACATTCATGGCAACTGCAACCCCCCGAGAGGATTCATCCTATACGTTAGCTGTGCATTTATTTATATACCACTTTTCAGCCAATTGTTCCCCAAAAGTGGTTCAAATCACAAAGAGAGGCACACTCTACCCACGAGCTTAAAAAGCCAAGGCAACCAAAGGGGAGAGGTGTAGAAGGAAGGGTGGGTCTTACTATATCTTATGTCATTCTTGGCCTCTTGCCCATGCCCACTCTGCCTATTTCAGTTAACAGGCTGGGATTGCAATATGTGGGGTGTTGTGTATCTACCGTGGGCCACACACGCGGTCGGGTTCACACACGGTCATGCAAAATAGCTAAGCTTTGCTTGAGAGACAATAGCCGGATAGGATCCAGGAACGGACCAATAGGCCACCCCAGATCCGGGAGTTGACCTATGGGTGTTTGGACACTGTAAATAGCCTATCATGGGTGTAGGTGTGGGTGTGTGTGCTGGGTGTGGTTGGTGTTGGGGATTTAAGCAGGACTCCAGCCCTGCTACTTTGTCTTATGTTCATGCTTGTTAATAAACTATGAGCTGATTTCACATTATACGTCTTCGAGTCCAGTACTTTACATGGGGAGAGGGGCTTACACCTCCCCACCCCACCCCACTTTTCTTTCCCCAACCTGAAACGGCCTTGGAGAGCCACTTGTCCCATTGAGGAAATGTATATGTAACCCACACACACACACACACACACCCTCTTCCTCTTGGGGAACAAAGTGGCTCTCCAGAGCCCTTTCAGGTTGGGAAAATGGCACTGTGGAATCGCTTAATTCCCCACCACCACCATGGCCCCAATCTAGAGAACCAGAGAGGTTGCCAGCTGGTTCACGTTCAATTGATAAAATAGTCCCTTAGTGGTTGCTCTCTTCAACAAAATTTACATCCATAACCGTAAGATGACGGGCGAGCGCCACCCCTCAGAAAGCGGTGGGATTACTCACTGTAAGGGCTTTTCTCCTGTGTGGATTCGCCTGTGAATGATCAAGTTGCTGCTAGTGCGAAAGGAGCGGGCACAGAACTCACAGATGTAGTCTCGCTTGTCTGCAGGAAAGAGAAAAGCATCTCCGGGGTTATTCCGGAGCAAAGGGAACACGCTGCAAGGCAGGGGGTGGCCAACAATTTTTATTTCTAAGCAATAGATACTTGTAAAACAATCCCTACTTCTACAAATCTATATACCTATTTATAATTCAAGCACATGCCCGACATGCAGAAGGTTCTAAGTTCTGTCCCTGACCTCTCCACCAGTAGAGCAAAGTTTGAGTCCAGTGGCACCTTTAAGACCAACCAAGTTTTATTCAGGGTATAAGTTTTCATGTACACAAAAGCTTATACTTTGAATAAAACTTTGTTGGTCTTAAAGGTGCCACTGGTGCTACTTCAGACCAACATGACTACCCACCTGAATCCATCTCCACCTGTAGTATCTCAGGTAGCTGCTGCCAGGAAACACTGTCTCTCCCTAACAGCCTGGAAAATTGCTGCTGCTGTTAGTGGACCAATGACCTGACTTGGTGCAAGACAGTTGTACATATGCAATCTTCTCTTCCAATTTTTTTTCCTCCAATGCTCACACAAGCAAGCTTGTCCATCCTGCAACTAACCACTCCGCCCACTTCTGGCACCTTCCTGTAAATGTGGGTTCAGCTGCCGCTGGGACAGGTGTCAAAGCATTCCCACAAGTATTCTGGTGGTGCTGAGAGCTGCTGATTTACTCATGCTACTTCCTCCCTTATCTGAAGGCTACTCATGCTGCGGCCGAATGGAAGAAAAGGAGGGCAGCCATTCTTGTACTATCTCCTCAGGAGAGGCAAAACAGTGGTCCTGTATAGCAATGTGTGTTGGGAAAGGCAATGCACATTCTGAAGCAATCAAATGATCTTCAAAAATCCTAACGCGACGTCTAAAGAAAAGATGATAATATTAGCACAAACACACACATGAAGCTACGCTCAACTGGTCTGTCAACATTAGTATTGCTTGCTCTCACTGGCAGCAGGTTTCCAGGGTCTCAGGCAGAGGCCTTTTGCATCACCTGATCCTGGAATTGCCGAGGATTGAACCTTGGACCTTCTGTATACAAGGCAGATGCTCTGCCACTGAGCCACAGCCCACCCCTGCTACTATCTCTTGCAGATGTACCACTGGTATCTAATGCCACATGCCAGGGCCCTGGTTGCTTGGCAAATGGTCAGATAGCTCAGCTTGGTGAAGGAGGAAATTGACGCTGTACCACAGAAAAATATGTCTGGATATTTTGGAGGGATCGAACGTTATAAAATGGTTCCAGCTGAAGGCCGGGCAAAAGCTCTTTCATGGCTGGAGTGGGAGAAGGGACCCCACAATCCTCAGAGGGAGGTTGTGGTGGGCTCACCGCTGTGCAGCTTCTCGTGCTCCTTGAGGTGTTTCTTGAAGTTGAAAGACTTGCCGCAGCTGGGATCCGAACAGGTGAATGTTTTTTGGTGAACATGCTGGTATTTCTTGTGGTGCTAAAAAAGAAGTAGCCGAAATGCAAGATGAGTATTTCTGTGATAAAGTTAGCTTGGGGGGGGGGGGATGTGCGTGTCCCAATCTGTTAAGGCAACAAACATCATGAGGGAATGATACATCACACTGAGGGGATAATTGATCCCTTTATATTGCACATACGCGCTTCATTTTTAATTTTTGATGAGTGCCTAGAGATTTTAAGTGATATAATAATAACTACATCATTAAAAAAGAAAAATTGTAATATCAGAAATGGTCCTCCTAGCATTTCCCGTGACACAAAACACATATTCCAGGGCAGCAGAAATTGCTTCACTGTCAAAAGCCAAAAGACCACTCTGCTCCAGCCCAGATACGCACAAGCACGAGGTGATGAAGGAGAAAGCCCCACATGGTTGCTTGTTACCAATGCTCCCTCTAAGCTGTCTTGTGAGCAAAAATTCTGCTTTGTGGGCTACTGGCATAAAAGTTGTGAGCGAGCGATTTGGCTGCTGCATAAATTAATTTGGTCTGGAGCCATCCTTCCTGAGCTAAGACAAAAACGTGTGAGCCAGAGGCTAAAAAACTGTGAGCTAGCTCACACTAACTCAGCTTAGAGGGAACACTGCTTGTTACCAGAATTTATTTATTTAGATCTTTATACCCTGCTTTTCTTCCCAGTTGGACTCAAAAACACCCTACATCATCATTCTCCCATCTTCCATTTTATCCTCAAAATGATCATCCCAACCATCCTGTGAGGGAGGTTAGGCTGAGAATGTGTGACCAGCCCACGATATGTTCTACAGTAACCCGAGAGGTTGTGGGGTTAATTCTCAGTAGGAGAATTAGTAAGGAAAGCCACCAAGCATAGCCTGTGGCTCAGCTTTGCATGTGGAAGGTCCCATGTTAAGTGCCTTGCTGGCATCTGTCATTAGAGGATCTCAAAGAGCAGGTGATAGGAAAGGTTGTTCTCTGTCTGAGATGCTAGACAGCCGATGCCAATCAGAATAGCCAATACTGAACTAGATGGACCAAAGGTCTGACTTGGTGTAAAGGAGCTTCCTTTTTTCTCACACTAAACCTACTAGTTCTGCCAGCCCAGCTCACAGTTTCTTTGTCTGCGCCTTTCTTTGCTGTTCCTGGCATGGTATTAGCTGAATAAGCATTACGGTCACGTTTCTTGTATTGTGTGCTTTAGACATCATCACTGGGGGAAGTGGTATTTGCTGTATAAGCATTACAGGCACCACACAAGGAGGGTAACAAAGGATAACAAACTTTTACCTTAGACGGTGTCCAGACTGCCTGGTACACCTACACCTGGTTATCCTGGCAGCCCAGTCCAAGTGGCCACATTGCCTTATGATTTGACAAATAGGTAACATCATCAGGAAACATAGCAGCCAGGACTGAGATTCCCACAGGGTGCCAACCCCAGATTGGGAAATTCCTGGTGATTTGGGGGTGGGGCCTGCTGAAGGTTGGGTTTGGGGGAAGGAAGAGACCTTCGCACAGTATAATGCCATAGAGCCCACCCTCTGAAGCAGCAATTTTCTCCACAGGAACTGGTAATCTGGACATCTTTTTTATTTATATTTGTTTACAAAATTTATATCCCATCTTTCTGCCCTAACAATTACACTTGTAAGTCAAGGCCCACCTAAAGGTTGGGAGCCCTAGTTTCTCAGCAGGCACTGGGAGTAGTAGGTAATGGCCATGGGGCAGCAGCAGGTCATGGGTTAGGAAAGGCTTGCTTGGTTGGCAGAGATTCTAACGCAGAGATGTTCCACCAGGCATTTGGCTGAGGGCAGCAACGGTTCCAACGGCACTCCTACTAATATAGAGACACCATCAGGATTCGGACGCCATCTTGTTTTTTCTAGAATCTAATGTTTTATTGTTTGCTATCTCACTTTGAATTGTTCTTTTGCTGGTTTTATATCACTGTAAACCACCTTGAGCCCGGTTTCTGGGAAGGGCGGTCAATAATAATAATAATAATAATAACAATAATAATAATAATAGATTGGCTGAGCAATACAGCACTGGCATTTTCAGGAGCAAGGCCTGTTCTCAGAGCAGCCTTTTGTGTGCTGCCTCCTCACCCCAGCAATGTTTCTGGCCACTTACATTCAAGTACTGCCGGTTGGAGAAAATCTTCCCGCAGCCATCATAGTCACAGAGGAGGATCTCTCGCTTGGCTGCCTTCCTGTGGAGCAAGGCAAGGATGGGCATGAGAGAAGAGAGGGAGAGGAAACCCCTAAAAAACACCAGCGCTCAAAGATCAGAACAGCATTACAGAACAGTGGACAGGTGTCCCTCTGTTCCTCCTCCCTCCATTAGGGCCTTGAATGTGAGGCCTTATTACACCCTCTCAGCAGCTAGCAGTTTCCAAGGCCTTGGACTCATAATCCTCCTATTGCAGTGCAATCCTAAACCAAATTACACCTTTCTAAATTCATTAGAGTCCATGGGCTTAGAAGGGTGTAACTCTGTTTAAGATGGCACTGCAAGTAATCCAGGGATGTATTTGCCAGAGTAAGACCCACCTGATTCTCTTTGGACCAATCTGGACAACATCTTCATCACCAGGCTGTGCCTGCTTCTTACACCTATAAGGAAAAGAAGCTTAGCAACTGAAAACAAAAAGAAGTATCTCTCAAGAAGGGCCATCAGGCAGCCATTATGGCTAATATTGGCAAAGCAACCAAACTGAAAAAATGGGTGGTAGGGATAGAGTTGAGTCCCGTTAGTGTTAGGGGCCTAGGCCAGTTGCTCTGGTTACCCGGGAGCCAAAGTTAACCATGCAGATCTCAAAAATTTCCAGTAGGCAGTGAACTGCAGTATGCGAAAGAGACAGAAATGGCGCTGAGCCAATCCTTGGTGCACTGGAATATTCACATGACCCATCCCGTAAAAAAAAAGTACCCCATGGGATGTATCTACATTATGCCATCTTTGGTTTCAGTCATATTGTCTCTCAGGGAACCCTAGGAATTGTAGCTTCATATAGGAGAGCTACAGATCTCTTTCTCAGCACCCTCATCAAACTATAGTTATCAGGATTCTTTTAAAAGCCATCCAATCCTGAGTGGTATAAAACCAATAAAAGTTGTTTCTATGGATTGCTTTGCTGTATAAATCCAAAGTTCATCTACGTGTGCATTCTTTCTCCAACAGAAGTCCAACAGGTGCCTCTTAGAAGTCTGTGAGGAAGGCATGGTAGAACAGCCATGTCCTCCTGTTTGAGCTCAGCAATTAGAATGTTAGCTGTAATCATGGAGACTCTGTTCAGCTTGTTACAACAAACTCAGAACCATGAATTTGTTTAACTCCTTTTAAAGCTAAGTTAGCGGCCATCCTGTTACCAGATCTGTGTTTAACTGCCCTGCAGGGCAAATAGCAACTTGGGGAAATTCTAATTGGGGAAAGGGTTAAACGTAGGGGTGCCAGCCTCCAGGTGGGACCTCAGAATCCCCTGGAATTACAGCTTATCTCCAGACTGCAGAGAGCAGTTCCCCTGGAGAAAATGGATGTTTTGGAGGGTGGACTCTATGGCATTGTACCCCACTGAGGTCCCTGTCCTCCCCAGGCTCCACCCCCAAATCTCCAGGAGTTTCCCAACCTGAATCTGTCAGCCCTAAGCGCACACACCCACACTCACCCAGACTGCTGCTCCAATCAAAATCAGACACACATACACAAACCACAGTAATTTTTTTTTAACTGGGAGTTGAGAGGCACACCACATTTCTGCGTGGTGTTTAATTTCATGATCACCCTAGTTTCTAGAAAGTTCTTACTCAGTGTAATTTATTTATATTTATTTACTGCCCTGCTTTTCTCTCCACTGGGGATTCAAACTGGCTTATAAGAAACACAAAACTGTACTTTAAACCAACAAACAAAGCTGGGCTTTGCTGGCCTGGACTCACTGGCCCAGCTCACTCAAGATCACGGGCTAAATGCCAAGGGCACAGAGCCCTTTGACTCACTCCTCTGGCCATGCCCCTCTTTTGTAACTAGAAGAGTTTGTTTGTCTCCACCTTTCTGGTTCTCTGTCTGAGGTAAACATCCCTCTCCACCTCTCTGTCTCCTCACCCTGCTTCGCCACTTTTCTCCTCAGAGGGGCTGTGGCTAGGGGGGAAAGTTTCACTGGACAGCTGGTTCTCTTTTGCAGGCCTCTTGAAGCACTTGGCCAAGTGTTGAAGTCTTGGCAGCCAGGAGTCCCTACAGATCAGCAAAATTTACACAGAATTTAATTCCTGCTTCTGACCAGTGTTTGGTTTGCAGGAGGCATCAAAGAAGCATTAACAAATAGAGCAACATTTGCAGATTAGCATTACTGGACATTACCACATACGTTACCTCAGCCTCTGGCATGAATATCACAAGTGGCATGTGCCTCTGGAGTTTGGGGAACATCTTGAGAGGAGCAGGAGAGATGGCAGGCCTAACCACAGCATAGAGTTTATACCTGCCACTCCTGTGTTGTACTGCTGCCTGCTCAGGAGCTCAGAGGCAAAAACAATCAATGCCACTGGGACTGTGTATCTACCAGACTGCAACTAGAGTGACATTCTCTTATGCTTTGGACTTGATGCAGCCAGTATGGCATTCAGTCAAGATCGTCCCTCTCACTCAGCCCAGTCTGTACACTGTCCAGACCCTAAGGATCAACAGTCACTCCGAAGTGAGGGAGAAGCAGTTCAAATAAACTGTTGCTGCATTCTTCAAGACCTTTGTTTTTCGGGCAGGGAATGTGTAGTCAAACAAACCTATTCCACTACATTTAGAACAAATGTTTGTCTTTCTCTACCCTATCATGGTGGAAGATGTCAGCTTCCTTGAAGTTTGCATCCACATTTCATCCCAGACCAATTCCCCCTTTCGTCCCTGCTAATCTATCTATCTTGTACGTTTTCTTTTCACCTGGAGAGCCAGTTTGGTGTAGTGGTTAAGTGTGCGGACTCTAATCTGGGAGAATCAGGTTTGTATCCCTACTCCTCCACTTGCAGCTGCTGGATGACGTTGGGCAACCCATAGTTCTGTCAGAGGTGTTCTTGAAAAAGAGCAGTTTCTTTCAGAGCTCTCTCAGCCCCACCTACCTCACAGGGTGTCTGTTGTGGGGAGGGGAAGGGAAAGGGTTTGTAAGCTACTCTGAGACTCCTTGAGGTAGTGAAGGGCAAGGTATAAATCCAATCTCCTCTTCTTCTTCTTCTTCTTCTTTTTTCCTCCAAGTCTCTTAGCAGAATGATCCATTCAAAGTTCTCCCCCCATCTCTGTGATTCGCCTGTGAAATGCCCCCCACACTTGACCAGGTAAATGGGCTGCAAATTAAACCAATTGGATAACTGAGCACTAATATTCAAAAATCCCACAACAAAGGCTTTGTGCTTTGTCTGTTCCTACCCATCAAAAGCAGAACACAGGCCTTTCCACCTGAAATCAGGCATCTTCAACATAGAAGTCGGTTCTATCTAGTAGTTACATTTTATACGTCCCCACCCTATTTTGCTTTTGGAGAGTAGCCTTGAGATGGCTAATTCTCAGAATTAGGTCTGTATTCATTCTGAATCACAGTCTTTGTAATCCTACCTCTTCTCTGTGTATTTACGTAAAGCTTCTTTTTCACTTGGAATAAGTGTGCTACATTTTCCATTAGTTTGGGCTATATCCTGAAAGCCTCTTGGGCAAGTTACTCCAAGGCCCCGGTCACACGGGCAGGAAACTGCGGGGGAGAAGCATGGATGTTTGCCCTGCGGCAAACTACTGCGCAGTTACTCGATCAGACCTCCCGTGGAGGTCCTGTGGAGGTACCGTGGAGGTTCCATGGCAAGGGAGAGGTGCTGATCACAGGACAAGCCGGCACGCAACAAAGAAGCGCGCGCCACGGCAAAATGTTTTGGTTTTGTGTGTACACGACTAATGCGCATGCTCCGTTGGGTGCGTGTGCGCATCCACAGAGACGTGGACAAAAAAAACACACCTTATTTGCAAGGGGACATGGGCGGGCGCCGGATGCCATCGGAAACGTGATCAGACGCCCGCCCTTGCCCCGCAGTTTCCGGAAACTAGTACCTCCAAGGTACTAGTTTTTTGGCACGCAGTTTCGGCTGGAAGCCTCGGTTGTGCCACGGGAGTGCTACGCTTCCCAGATGTGCTGGTGAGATCGCGCCCAGAAACTCCGCCTGTTTTCCGTCTCACTTGTGTGGCTTCTGTTCCGTGTGACCGCAGCCCAAGAATGGCAGTGAGAGGGTTAATCCTTATTGTCAAAAAATCTCCATAAACTGGAAATCAAGATGTATAATCTGGCTTTAAACAGAAGCTGGCTTGAGGTGGAAATATGCACCAGAGCTGACCCCTCAAAGCGGCTTTAAGTCTTAATTAGGGAACAATTTGGATACTTGTCTTTTCCCCAACCCCTGGATGGGGGCATTTCCAATCAGGGAAATGATGCAGGGAAAAGTCCACACACAGACACACACATCCTTTTCCCAAGACTTCAGTCCCTATCCAGGTTGTACCAGCCCCCCTACCTGGTTTTTTGGGGCCTAACAAAATGTCTGGAATTCCAGTCTATCATCATATGCATTTTGACACTAAGGGTGAGTAAAGAACAGGCTGTCAAAGTCATTAGAGAGCGACCTTCATGTGCACAGCAGTAATTACACACAAGAGTCCCTTTGTTCAAGATACCTGCTTTGTCTCCTCTTCATACAACAAATACCGTGCACAGATGATTATAACATATCATAAATAATTTTATATTTTTTGAAAAATATTTTACAATAATTTCTTCATATATAATTAATCATCTTAATCACAATTCACAATATAAGAGATATCAAAAATATCAAATATCATCTCCATAGAATCTCAAAAGATATTGTACAACCTTATAATTAATAATAGTCCTCCTCTGTTACATAAAAGTTTCAAAAGAGAGGACTCCTTAAAGTCTCTTTATAACATGTGCTCTGTCTTCCTCCAACAGAGGTCCAGATATCCTTCTGTTTCAGAATCCTCTAAATGGTTAATTTCCCCTTTGAGAGTATCAATTTCTTTATTAGATCTTTGTATAATCAAAAGCATAAGGTCTAATGAACATTTGTTCATAATAGCCATCCATTGAGATTTAAATTCTGCATCATCATTAAACAAGGCAGAAGCCTTTTGAATTCTCAAACCCCTAGGAATCCTCTCTGCTTTAACATACTCAGTAAGAGAAACTGCATGTCAAAAAATCTTTTTAGACTTCTCCTTCAAAGATTCTTTGTACTTAAAGAAAATTTAAATCATTCCTATAATAGGGTGGATATTAATAAACTTTTACATCAACAGGAAGCAGACTATATTTCTTGTTTTAATACCCTGGAACCAAATGGTTTAAATCAATATAATGACTTATGTTTTCTGTGAATTACTGCATGTATACTCCTTTAATGTAAGGACAGAGTCTCAAAAAACTGATTTCTAATTCTCACGCATGACTTTTGGTAGAGGACTGTGTCCCTCTAATTAGCCATGCCTTTTGTGCTCTATAAAACTTTGCAAGCCTAAAGAGTGACTGAACGTGCTTTTCACGTTGGAGGAGGCTTATAGCTCATCAAAAAAAAATTTTTTTTTTGCAGCGTTCATTGAAAGAGAATTTTGGATTAAAACTTTGGGTAAGAACTTTTCACTTCTTTGAGAATCTGTCTAGTATGAGATTACTAGCATTGTAACCTATTCTGTTCCTGCTATCTTTTATGTTAGTATTTGGCAACCTTGTGCTGAAAATTATTGTTGAACTCCCTGAGGAAGATTCTGAAACAGAAGGATATCTGGACCTCTGTTGGAGGAAGACAGAGCACATGTTATAAAGAGACTTTAAGGAGTCCTCTCTTTTGAAACTTTTATGTAACAGAGGAGGACTATTATTAATTATAAGGTTGTACAATATCTTTTGAGATTCTATGGAGATGATATTTGATATTTTTGATATCTCTTATATTGTGAATTGTGATTAAGATGATTAATTATATATGAAGAAATTATTGTAAAATATTTTTCAAAAAATATAAAATTATTTATGATATGTTATAATCATCTGTGCACGGTATTTGTTGTATGTTGGTTTTCCTACTTACCATGGTCCTTGTTTGGTTTTGTGAATTGTCTCCTCTTCAAGTATCAGCACTGAATTAGAATCAGCACTGCTTCCAGGACGCCCCCTAAAATCCAACCTACCTGTCTAGGGAAGGATGATAATTTTCATCTCGCAGGTCATCTGTGTATGCCAAGTGGTCTTCCTCTGCCAAATCCTCTCCTCCTCCTTCCTCCTCCTCTGGTTGGTCAGGCTCTGACTCTGGCTTTCCCTCTGGCAGGGGCAAAGTGCTGCAGAAAGGGGAACAAAACAAAAAGGGAAGATGCAGAGCTCAAAGATTCTTCAGCTGGGAATGGACCACCTAGTGCAGCCACTCCCAACCCTAAAAGCAAGAGAATTACCAATATCTGTTTGTGGCTCTTTGACAGAGTGTTCCGCCAGAGTATCAGAGACACCCGTGATAAATCACACCAGCCAGATGCTCCCATTCAGGACATGAAGGTGAAGACTACTGCACTTACTCACAGTGAACCCCATCAGCTAAACTGTTGCCCGCTCACCCAGTTTGGAGAGATCCTGTTGGAGCTCTTCAGAGTCCGGTATCTGAGCACATCTCCAGATTAGCCACTGCCTGAAACAGGATGCTGGACTAGATGGATCACGGGTCTCATCCAGCAGGGCTCTTACTACGTTAGCTACACCCTCACTTGTTTGCTCATCTTGGATCTCATTACAATGGTCGGGGTGGGGTGGGGGAGAAGTTCATAGGCCAGTTACAAGGCAGGGGGAGAACCATGAATAGAATATTCTGCTAATGGTCTGAGCTCCTTGGAGGAAGGGTGAGATACTTCCCAATCTAGCCAGGCAAGGTTGGATAGAAAACACACCCCTGTCACAGAACATGATTCCACAGTCCTAAATCTGCAGTAATGAAAGTCTGTTGCAGTCTCCTAAAATTGCGTTGGCAGTTTTGGAGTGGGACATCCAATCTCTGAAGCCACACATTATAGAGTGGGGAGATGTGTCCTTTTCAGTGGTGCACATGATATGTCTGTGTGTGAGCAAATGTGCAGTGGCTCATGCTGTAGAGCAGCAGATTAGACTGGAGCCTGATCAGTGAACTGCAGCTTCCTGGAGGGCCATTTTGAAAAGGGAGGGGGAGAAATGGCTGGCCAAGCACACACACGGTGCACGCACACTATCCCTCCCTGAAGTGGCCTTCTGATGGCCATAATTGCTGATCAGAGACCTCATACAACCAGTGCTGCCACCACACAGTCACATGGAAAAGCCGACACCCCCCACTATCAAGTTGATTCCCTCTGCTACTGGCCTGCTGGCAGAAAGAATACCCAAAGTCCCTGCTCCCTCCATATTCCTCCTTTGCTCCTACATTGACTATTAAGGAGCCACAACCACTGCCCTTGCTGGGGGGAGCAGATATGGCCCAGGCTCACTCACTGCAGGTTCTTCTATTAAATAATTTTCAGGTCACTCTTAGCCAGTTTGGTGTAGTGGTTAAGTGCGCGGACTCTATTCTGGGAGAACCAGGTTTGATTCCCCACTCCTCCACTTGCGGCTGCTAGATGACCTTGGGCAAGCCATAGTTCTGATAAGAGCTGTCCTTGAAAAAGAGCAGTTTCTGTCAGAGCTCTCTCAGCCCCACCTATCTCACAGGGCGTCTGTTGTGGGGAGGGGAAGGGAAAGGAGTTTGTAAGCTGCTCTGAGACTCCAAGCGAAGGGCGGGGTATAAATCCAATCTTTTCTTCTCTTCTTCTTCTTTGTAATCAGGATTTTTAGCCAGGGCAGAAAACGATCTTCTGGTATCCCACAATTTCTGTCCTCTCTGCGGAGGCTGCTTTGCCGTTCTGAATAGAACCACTTACACACAGGAATGGCAGATAATATTCAGATGTGACACAACAGCTTAATAGCTGGGGATTGCTAGACGTGAAGATCCACTCACTCCTCTCCCCAGCCTCTATGAGGTGCTGATATGGTTGATCAGAGAGGAACAAGAGGAAAGTACTGACCTTTCAGGCACTGCGATTTCTGTGCTACTTGGAACCTCTTGGGAGGGAGCTGCTGCAGGAGAAAACACAGGGTGGTCAAAGGCTGGGACGATGGAGTCATCATCTTACACAGTCAAGGGAGCAGCAAATTATGGTGACCACAGCCACTCTCCATATCAGACAGGCAAAATAAATGCGTCTTCAAGAGCTCTTTTGCAACTAGTCCTGGGTATCGCATGACATTAGTTTCCTTCCTAATGCACCACAGCAGACAGTGCTAGGCTAGGTGGAGGATCTTGCTCAACACAAGGCAGTTTCCTCATTGAGTCTCCCAGTGGCAGCTCTGGGAACAGCAATAGTAGAAATCCCCTCAGAACCCCTGTCTCCCCCATGGGTTTTGAGCATTTGACACATACTTAGTTCCTCAGTAGTCATGAGAGCTTGAAGCAAGTAAGTAAAGTATGCTGTCAAGTTGCAGCCGAAGCATGGTGTCTCCCATGAAGTTCCATCTCATGGGGTTTCAAAGGCAAAAGAGATGAACTGAGGTGGTCTCCCATCCAAGTCCCGGCCCTGCTTAGCTTCCAAGTTCTGACAATAGCAGGTAGTCGCAGACTATGGCTGCGATCACACACACTAAATGATCCACTTTCAATGCACTTTGCAATTGGATTTTGCCAGTTCACACAGTAAAATCCAGTTGGAAAGTGGATTGAAAGTGGGTTATTTAGTGTGTGTGATTGCAGCCTCTATATTTTAATTTGTAGCAAGACTGTTGCTTATTTTTATCCACACCTGCTCCAAAGAGTTCAGAGAGGCATACAAGGGCCAGGCTTCCCAGATCTCTTGGACCTCAACGGCACATATTTCAGCTGTGCCTGATGTACCACCGTGGCATTCCAAGCGACTCCCTCCTGCCCTCCACCAATGAAGAACCTTTCCAGTCCCCCAGCATTCTAAGTCAGTGAACTTCATGCTGGTTATCTGCCTGCCTGCCAGCACCCTTACCCGTCTCAGTCTTGTCACTATCAAGCAGTTCTGCCTCCTCGCCAAGGCCTGTTCCACCACTGGGAGACAAGCACACTGTTTGTTCTTGGTCCACACTGCCCTGCCCATCTTCCTTAGAAGGTAGCTCTGCCTCATCCACTGGACACGGGGAGTCAGAAGCGAGGGCTAAAGAAAACGCATGGGCTGCAGCTGCCCTGCGGAGGGAGCGCCGGCGTCGGATGATAGGGGAGGGGGGAGGGCTGGCCTTGGAACTTGCTATTTTCTCCTCCCTGCGTCTAGAGGCTGCTTTGCGGGGAGGTGGCGTGGAGGGCAGTGGGTTGGGGGGGCTCCAAGAGAAGGTGTGACCTGCCAGGCACTCCCAGACCAGGCCACCCGGAGCTCCTTTCTGTGCCAACAACGAGGACTTCATGTCAGGGATGAAGCCACATTCCTGGCTATGGTTGTGAGACAGGACCACAAGGTTCTGCAGTGCATCAGCAGGAAGAGGGGTGGCAGTTGCACTGGAACTGTCCTGTCCTGGACGGACAAAAAAGAGGGAAAATAAAGTCAGTGAGAGAGAGAAATCTGCAATCCTGAGTTTTATGAAGAACATCTTGCCCTCCTCTGCATACGAAATTTCTCATCTACATATTACAAGAATTCTGCATCACAATATAACCCACCACCATCCTAAGCATGGGATATTTATGTTGCCTACTCAGTTCTCCCACTGGGATGTTTATGACACAGACGAGTACCATGGTTCCCCTTTAAAAAAGTAAACCAGACTAACAGAACTGCCACTAAGCCTTACTCATTTTTCCCCAAGGAGTATAATTAAAACAAGATAGGTACAAGCTCTGCTTATCTGCAGATCTTATTTTGCATACCATGAAAATTATTTACATAATACTGCAGAGATTATTACTCATTACACAATATTTATCTTTTAAAAAATGACTAGAAGCAGATGATTGGTCTGTACATCTGCAAAAGGGCCTTCTGGGTTCAGTTCAGTGTGCAGGCAAAGTGCTCTGAGAGCAACTTTCTTGCTGATGTGCTAGTTTTCTACGTATGGGAACTTTACATTTCATGGAGCATTCAGTCTTGAGCTGAGTTTTAAAGTGATCCAGAATCAGGACTAGGACAGTTGATTTCTCTGAACACAAGGACTGCTTCTAGCTCTTCTTAAATAATGCTTTTAACCATCTCCAAGAACTTATGACTGACCATTTCAATTGGTTCTTTTTGCAGTTGGGGGGGGGGGATCACAAGCCCCAAAGTAAAAAACTTGTACATTTTTTAAAAATGCCCTTCGCATAGTATTTTTTTTTAAATTACCATATTGTTTAGTATTTATATAGTGCTATTTTTAGGATTCAGACAGATTATCTTGTAAATCCTATAGCAGCCTTGAACTAGGATAGTACTAGGCAGTAACAACTGGAGTGGCATCCCTTTTCCCACTGCCAGGACAGTGTTCAGTTTGAAGGAAGCCTAGCACCAGAGGAGCACACTGCAGTGGGGGGGGGGCACCCTGGTAACTGACGAAGCACAACACAAGCAGAAGCAAGGCTTAGGATCCAAGACGTAGTATTCTCATAGAGAAAGACACACTGCTCTCTCTTGTACAGGAAGCCTTCTACAGGCTGGGACTGAACTTCCTTTTGGAACAGACTACTGTCATTGTCTGCAAAGCTTGTCCTCATCTTTGGAAGAATACAGTCCTTGAACTTCATTGCAATTTAGCCCCTTGTCCACTTGCTATAAGCAAGTATTGACACTCAGGCTGCTATACTGTTCCTCAAACCAAGTTATCAAGCTGGCAATCGGTTGTACTTCTGAGAGAGGCTGCAGTGAGATTTAATGAATAAATATTAATCAAAGGCCTCCTCCTTCCTCTAGAGAGAACTAGCCAGGGCTCTTACCCATTTTGAGCACACAGCCTTGTGAGCTGTACCTGCACGAAAAAGAAGAAAAAAAAGAACAGCAGGTGAACAAGTCGAACACACAGCAGGGCAGTTCATTAATTATAAGTTCTACTAAATTAGGGACCTAATTTAAGGGATAAACAATTTGATTTCATCCCTTATTCCAAAATCTCCCCTTGCCCAGATTTTCTAAGAGATCAAGTGTTAGAGCAGGTCCCTCACACAATCCTTAGGACAGAGATCATGGCTCAGTGGTAGAGCACCAGCTTTGCATACCAAAAAAACCCAGTTTGATCCCTGGGATGTCCACAAAAAATACCTCAGGTGGCAGAAGTTAGTATCTGACTAGGACCATTGACTTGGTCTACATCACCCCTTCTGGAGCATTGCCAGTCATCATCAGGTTGTTTTTTGAGGCTCTTTTTCCTTTGGTTAATTTACAAGGCCACATTTTTCTGCACAACTGAGGAGCCCCCTGAGCAGGTAGGGAGCCTTCCCTTGTGTGTAGGTGGCCACCATTATGCAGCTTTCATAAACCACACCGGGGTCAGCCTGTATTAGAAACTGCAAGCACGGCTTCCAGCACACAAAATGTTCCATTGAGCAATCTAACGTTTTCCTCTTAGGTAACGTTCAGACAGAACTAGATGAGTGGTAGAAAAAACTGCCTGGGGAGCACTCCTACAAACACACACACCCCTCACCTGTCAAGCAGGTACTTGGCAAGCTGGGAGTGCAAGGAAAAACCCAGCTGCTCCTTGAGCTGACACCATTGTTCCAGGTGGCTGCCAATACGGATGCGGCATTTGCTGCGCCGAGCATCCAATTCCTTACGTTTCTGCTTGCGGATGGTTTCGGAGGCCCGCTGGCGTCCCTGGCGGCCATGTTCCATGATCACAAAGCCACCCCACTGAGGAAGAGTATGTCGAAGAAAGAAAATCAGGTTACGATCCGCAAAAATTCAACCAAGCCGTGACCCACCAATTAGAAGTATGTGTTTTATATCTATGTGGACAATCAGTCAAAACACAACAGTCTGGTTTTAGTTAATTAATAAATGACATGTAAAGGTTATTTACATGTTACAGATTCTTAACAAAGGGTGATTCTGTTAGAAGCCTGAACACATGAGAAAGCCTCCACCCAGATCCATCAACAAATGTGAAAGCCAGTTCCCAATGTTTTATTATCCTTTGTCATGGCTGAGAAAATAGAACCCAGGCTAGGGCTATGTCCTTGGTTCTTAACATGTGAGCATCATGGAACACCTAAAGGAGTGTCTCTATGACAGACAGTATGAAAGATAGGCTCCTGGGGCAGATGGAACCTTCCTACTACTACCAGCCAAGACACTGTTGGAAGGAAATGCCTTCTAAATTTCTCTTCATCTAGTTTGGTCCAGGGAGAATGGAACGGATGCAGTGCCCTTCAATAGTCCTGCATCTGTCAATTAGCCATACCGGTTAATCAAGGAGAGGAATTTTAAGCTGTGATTACAATTTACAGTTTTTAATATATAATTTTTAAAAATCTAATCAGTCAGTCCTTTGTAGTCACTGCATAAACTGCTGTGATATTATGGGATATTTACAAGCACTGATAGCTATATAGATAGTAGGGGGAAATGACTGCTGCCTGCCCATATAGGGCTCGTGAATTAGAAGGGTCAGCTGACTGCTGTTGGTAGGAAGAAGAGGCAGAGACTGAGGTACTGGGCAGTCTTGGAGTTGAATGCTTAATAACCCCAGAAAACAGAAGAGATAAATTAATAATGACAAATATCCACTTAGCTGGAGCCCTCTTATTCCCATTTTGTTTGTTTATATGTTAGATTTGTGAATCACCCAATCCCTGAGTACACAGGGTTCTGGGCGATGTACAACAATGTTAAAAACATCAACATGACATTGTTAAAATCCTTGAGCCACTGTGGAATCATTTGTTCCTATATTATTAATAATCCCAATATGGCGTCATTGATTTAATCCTAAAACCCACTCTAGTCTGTGGTGCTGTCTCATCTGCAGGGCGAGGAGGAGGCCAAAGTGAGAAAGTAGAAGAAGGGGTGGGGGTGGGGGTGCCAGCCATGATGGAAACCATTGCTGTCCTCAACCAAAGGCCTGGCAGAACATCTCTGTTTTACAGGCCCTGCAGAATTGCATTAATTCCCATAATTGCATTAAGTTACAGATGGAACAGAATGATCTTTCCTGGAAGTTACTTTGAGGATAGATGTCCCATGTTCTGGCCAATGAGGAACAGTACTCAGACTTCAGGTGTGAGAAATCAACTTTTTATCTTCTGCCAAAGATTTGGGATCTACCAGTTGGAGCTGGTTGCAAAAAGACTCCTCCCAGGGAAGGAAGTCCTTTATAAAATTCACCCCCAGGAGCTTGTCATAATTACCTGCAGCACTGTATAAATTATACATTGGGGCATCTGCCTGTGCAAATACTGAGTATAATCTCAGTTACTAATCATTAGGGGGTCCAAAAGCTCAAAAAGCTACTGAAAAACTAGCCACAGACAACCAAGGCAGATAATACTATCATTTGACAGGTGAGAAATTTTTAAACAGCAATTGTGTCAGCACTGCTATATTTGACTTTACTAGGTAGGAATGAATGCAGTGCAGATGATTATGCTGACAGCTATAAAAATGAGGGGCAACCTTTGTTGGTGTAGAAACCTTTCAGAAATCGGCTTTTGGGGAGAAGACTAGACTTGTCCTGAGAGTTACATTTAAGTCACGCAGCACTGGACAAAGAGGACCTCCTGTAGCTTCAGTGTCAGGAGCTTTAGGAGATCTATCAGGATGCAGTCTAGGGTCCTGTGTGTCAGAAGGTTAGTGATTAGGCCAGGGGAAACCCAGTTTCCAATCCACATCATGAAGCACAGAGACTGACCTTTGGCCACTTTCACCTAACCTAATTCACAACGCATAAGATGGAGGAGGAGAGGACTGTGTATGCTGCCCACATTTCCTTGGAGGAAGGGTGTAATACAAATGTAAGAAATGCCAGTAGATCACAATCCAGCTTCTTCCCAAGAAGGAATGAGAGAACCAGAAAGAATTAGTGCAATGCATTTTTAATCTCTCCTTTTCTCCAAGAAGCTTGATGGTGGTGGAGGAAATTTACCATCAAGTAGCAGCAGACTTATGGTGACCCTGTAGGGTTTTCAAGGCAAGAGACGTTCAGAAATAGCTGGGCTGGTCCCGTGACACATCATACACTCCATGCACCATAAGATATTACGGGCTATTATCTGCCGACCTTAACGGTATCACTCAGCTGACACAAACAGAAATCTTTGATTCTCAACTTGCCATGCTGGAAGCTGATAAAGCAAAGAACCAGTTGGTGCAGTGGGAAGAATAATGCATTCTGTCTGGCAAACCCTACACCAGGGTTCCCCAATGTCGTGTCTGTGGGCACCTGCAACATCATTCCTGGAGCTCACCAAGTGTTTTTAGAAAGTGTGGCGGGCCACGTGGGGCTTTCGCCCAACAAGGCTACAGCCTGGCCAATGGAGGTTTGATTGGCTGTGCAGATTTTTTCATATGGCTTTGTCACCACAGCACAAGGATCTTCACCTTGTGACCAACGATACGCTGCAGTAGCCATTTAGTGGTTGCATCCACCTTTTTTTTTGCCATCAAGTTGCAGCTGATTCATGGCAACCTGTAAGGGAATTCCAGGACAATTTTCAAGGCAAGAGACATTCAAAGGTGGTTTTTGCCATTGCCTGGCCTCTGCATCATGACTCTGGTATCTTTTGGAGGTCTCCCATCCAAATACTAACCAGGACTGACCCTGCTTAGCTTCTGAGATCTAACAAGATCAGGCTAGCCTGGGCTATCCAGGTCAGCACATGCCCATCACACTGTGTCAGAATTCCAAAGGCACCCACAGGCTCAAAAGGGATGGTGACCCCTGCCCTATGCATTTCACCTGAGCTTCATGGGTGGGGGAATCTGTAAAAATATACAAATATAAGCAAATGTGAATAATACAGCAATGTATCATCTTAATTACATATCCTTAAAAAGAATAGTAGCATAATAAATAGTAGAGACATCACCCTGCCAACAAAAGTCCGTATGGTGAAAGCAATGGTATTCCCAGTAGTCATGTATGGCTGCGAGAGTTGGACTATAAGGCTGAGCGCCAAAGAACAGATTCTTTTGAATCATGGTGCTGGAGAAGACTCCTGAGAGTTCCCTGGACTGCAAGGAGATCAAATCAGTCAATCCTAAAAGAAATCAACCCTGACTGTTCCCTGGAAGGCCAGATACTGAAGCTGAAGCTCAAATACTTTGGCCACCAAATGAGAAGGGAGTCCTCACTGGAGAAGACCCTGATGCTGGGAAAGACTGAAGGTCAAAGAAGAAGGGGATGGCAAAGGATGAGATGGTTAGACAGTGTTATCAAGGCAACGAACATGAAATTAAGTAAACTCCGAAGCATGACAGAAGGAGGGCCTAGCGTGATGTGGTCTATGGGTCGCGAAGAGTCGGACTCGATTGTGCAACTGAACAACAACAACAAAATACTTTTTTAAAAAAACTTGGTCAATATGTAAGAAATATAGCTCCAGTGGGGAGGGCAGGGTATAAATCAATCAATCAATTAATACACTGATGTCCTAATAGTAATAAAATGGTGTATATTGATGTGGGCAAAATGCACAGGGGTTTTCAAGCTGAATATGTTCTTTTCTCATTGCACCAACTGTTTCTTTGCTTTTTCTCGGTCTGGTTATTATATTGCTTTTTCTTGTTCTGGCCCTTATTTTTTTGCACACATCCTGGAAGCTGACTGTGTGTCACTTCCATGCCCTGTACAGCACCAAGCACTAGATGAATTTGGAAAGGGTAGTAGTGACCTTGCTGGTGCAATAGAGTGATATCCCAAATGACCAATAAGGACTTTACGGGGAAAACTGCATATTTATCAGATCCCCCCAATTTGCGAAGCCCTCTCTTCGGACTCACACCCATGCCTGACACCACCCCTTCTAACCACGCCCCCAGTGCTCAAAGCCACGCCCCTTTCCAATCTCTACCCTCCCTCCTTCTATTCCCACCTCCCTCCCTCTGCCTCTAGCCAATGACTACCTGCTTTCCCGGGCCCTGGCAAATCAGAGGCCAGCGCGCAGTAGCAGGCGCCGTTGGAGTGTCGTTTCCCTCCGTTACTCGCGCGCCCCTCCTCCCCACCAACCGTTTCGATCAAGCTTCGCCCTGAAGCACGGGACTTCTCGCCGTCAGTGAGTCCATTTTCGTTGGTGCGGGAAGCGCTAATCTTACATTTGCGGGCCCCCTTATTGATCCAAGAAGTGGGGCCCACACCGCAGGCACCGTGGCCCCTTTAAGAGGGATGATTTCTCCCCCCCGTGCTCCTACCCTTAGCCTTCACAGGAGAGGAAGAGTGGCGGAATATGGCAGCTGAGTGGGAGGAAAGTGTTTTGACCTTGTGCGCGTGCGCATTTCACCCAGCCATATGCCTATAGTCCGCTAGATCACAGTATATTATGGGAGTTGTAGTTCAACCGCCCTGAGCTGTGGCAGAGCGCTCAGGACTGTAAAACTTTTTAGGTAAAAGGCACCTTACTGCACCTTTTGCCGTGGTTTCAAGACCAAGGAGTGATGGAATCCGGAGTTCTCTCCGGAGAGCATGATGGTAGCTGTAGATCTATTTCTCATTTTCCCCCCAAATCTTGTTTCCATCCCACAAAGGGGAAAAAACCAGCATTTTTCCATGGATGATAATTCCAGATAGGTAGCCAGGTTAGTAGCAGCACCTTTTTCTGATTGAGAAAAACCCAGATTTTCCCTCGGATTCCACCCCTTTTCAAACTGTTCTTATATAATTTTAAAATAGGGAGGTAAAAACGGGACCTATATGGATTCTCATGGCTCCTCTAAGGTTTGTGGTGATTTTTTTTTAAAAAACCCATAGAAATCCACAGTCATGTCACAAATCAACTCCATATACATGGACTACATGTATTACATGTCTTATTATATGTCTTACACTGTTCCTATTGTGTTGTTAAATTTTGTAATCTGCCTTGAGTGTCCACGAGGAAGCTGGACTTTAAATAAAGTAAATAAATACATTGTAAAAATGGTAAATCCAGCACTCCATAGTCCTGCTGTAGTGCAAAAACATGGATTCAAATTATAATTTCTTGTGACTTTTCTACATTCAGTCACCCAAAGTGCACCATCCATTCATGGGGCATGTCCCTGGGCTGCGTTATAAAAATCCAGTGCTTCATAGCATAACCACAGTACAAAAACATGATCAAGACATGGATCCTCACAGTTTTGACTTGGCATCACCTGAAATCCTTTCTAAGTCATATTTATAACCATGGCGTGCACAGTAAAAATGTAGATCTGGTGCTTCACAGTCCTGCTGTGGTACAAAAAAATATGGCTCTGAGGTAATTCTCATGGATTTCAAGAGAGACCTCTGAAATTGTTAATGAAATCAAACATAATATGTATATACACAGACAGATCCAGTGCCTCAGAGAGCAAAAACATGGATTCTTACCCCAACGGGAGATCCATAATCTTATCACACATCTATTTATACAAACTGCATTGTAAAACTTCATGGTCTTGCTATGGCACAGGAATAGATCGTTTCATGGATTCCCACAGAGGCTGCCAATTTTTAGGCTTCCTTTGCTGGAAAGCTAGGCACTTACTTTAAAATCTTGCTTTTTGCTTGGTAATCACTTCAACCGTTTCATCACAGCTCATTTACACTTCAAATATCATAGATCTAGCACCTCATTTTACTCACTGAATAAAATACTGTCTTGAAGCACAGATCTATGTGTGTTTCACAGATGCAGCTAAGCTAACAGTTAATTGCAGCGCACATCTGTGCCCACAGTTTTCATTCAGAAATTCGTAGTTCCATTGCTTCAAAATCATGATGCAAAATCATAAACTTCAGGCTTGCCTTCTCATTACTTATATATGGGAACACCCATTATTTAATCACCATTCTCATCTGCGCCAGATGGCACTGCAAAAATCATGCACTGAATACATTTGAGCAGTGTTGCCATACAAAATCTCGATTCAAAGTAAGAATGTTCTTGGATTATTAGCCCACATCCATGCCTACAAAACATTGCATTTCCACAATCACCTTGAAGCAGAAATGGTAGTTATTTGAATTGCAGCGAACTTAATTAAAATTGATGAAGATCCATGGTTGCGCACAACAGTGAAGTGTTGAATGTGCATTTTTGTAGTACATACCATGTGATTTGACAATAAAATACGAGGGGTTGCATGTAAAAATTGGAAAGGTCTATAAGGACCCATGTTCTGGGATTTCACACCACTGTAGAGCTACAGAGTGCTACATCTATCGTGTATGTGTGGCAGTACATGGATATCAGTGTGATGTGCTGCATACCTGCATACCTGAGGGACAGCCTTTCCCCATATGTTCCCCAGAGTGCTGCAATCGAGGACCCAGAACCGTCTGGTCCTCCCACATCAAGGAAGCCAGGCTAGTGACAACGAGGGCTAGGGCTTTCTCGGTGGTGGCTCCATTCTGGTGGAATGAGCTCCCAGAGGAGATCAGGGCCCTGTAGGACCTGTTACAGTTCCACAGGGCCTATAAAACAGAGCTGTTCCACCAGGCATTTGGAGCCACTGTCACCACTGACTTCTGACAGTTGGGAAAGCGACCCCGACCCCAGGGTCCCCAAGTATAGCCTGACCCGAGTACCTGGGACATCTGATAGAGATCAAGAAGCTGACTGAACACTGCTAGCACTTTAATACGTTGTATAGTATGATTTTAAATTGTGTCTAATTCGGTTTTATATTATATATTCTATTATTATATATTGTTTTATATTATTATGTAAGCCACCCTGAGCCGGCCTTGCTGGGAGGGCGGGGTAAAAATCTAATTAAATAAATAAAAATAAATAAAATGTGTAATTTCCTTTGAATTTCAGGAGTATCCATATAACAATTGTGAGAATCCAGGAGTTTGTTTGTTTGTTTGTTTACATTACTTATAGTCCCATCCTTTCTCTCTGAGAGTCAAGGCGGATTATACAATGTAAATCAATGCAATCAGTAGGATGGTGCATCTAATAAGCAATGTAATAAGACTAGGAATTACAGAATTTTTCAGATTGTCTAAACAAAGCATAAGAATTAAACATGACTGTTAAATAATGCAGAACATAGTATTACATCAGTAGAAACACGGTATATTTTCTCAGACCAATCTGTTATGATGTAGCCATATTTCATTTATAAAAAATGCCCTCCTGAGCAATTCTGTTTTATGTAATTTTAAAAATGCCAGAAGCATGAGAGCCTTCCTGACCTCCTCAGGCAGGCCATTTCACAATGTGGGGGGCCACTACAGAGAAGGCATCTGTACAGCATTAATTGATTTTGCCCATCTGCAGGGTGGCACCTGCAGAAGGCCCTGCTCAGATGAGCAAAGTTGTTACAGTGTGGCATAGGTGGAGAGGCAGTGTTGCAGATATGAGGGTCCAAGGCCGTGAAGGCCTTTGTATGTGATGGCCAATACCTTGAATGGAGCTTGGTAACTGCAGAATGGGTGTGCATGCTGTGCCTAGCTCCCAAGAATAATGGAGCTGCAGCATTCTTCAGGAGCTGGAGCCTCTTGGTCAATTTCAAAAGGAGACCTTTGTAGAGTTTATTACAGTTGTCTAGTCTCAATGTTCCAGTGGCATGGATCTAGGCTGCCAGATCAGCCAAGTCAAGGCAGAGGACCATCTTCCTGAGTTGGGGGAGAAAGCAGTTTTTGCAGCTGCATGAACTTGGTTCTCCAGCAATGTAATGCAGGGTCCAGTATAACTCACAGGCTCTTAACGGAGTCAGCTAGGGCCAGTTGAACCCTATGAAAAACAGGAAGCGCAACATCAGGCTCCCAACCCAGCATTAGGTCTGTCTTGCCTGGGCTTGGTTTCGATTTGTGTGCTCTCAAGCACTGAACCAGAGCAGTCAGGCAGTGGCTCAAGACCTGTACAGTATCACCAAGAGACTTGGGTAGAGCTATAGAGCGCACCACAATGGCTCCATATAACTTACAATTTTTCTGTGGTACATTTTGTGGACTTGGAAACCATGTAGAGTGCATTATAGTTATCTAGTCTCACTGTTATGGTGGCATAGATCTAGGTGGCAGTGATTTGACAGTGAATATTGAAGGAATCTATTTTAAAATCATAAAGATTAATGTCTGTTGATCTATATTCTTGTGCCCTGGTGGTCCCATGGAGCACTGACTCCATGTTTCTGTGGTGCATTACTGTGATCTGTGATTTGGCAGTTGATTTCAGTAGACTCCATGCAAAAACCATGAGGATCCACAAGGATTCGTGCCTTGGATCTATTTTTTTCCCTCTCCAAAGAGCTACAAAACCATTTTTATGGTGGTGTCTATGGGCATGATGGTCCTACAACATGAGATAGCTTTGTGTTATTTCAGTGTATGTCATATGAATTCACAAGAATCCATTTAAAATAATCTAGAACCAACTTTTTTCCCAGCCCAAGTTTTTTTGGGGATAGAGCCGACTTCATCAGATGAACGAAATGGGCTGTAGAACACAGTAAATAGTTTATACTAAACTTGTTTTTCACATGGCACAGAACTTGTCTACTTGAATTGTCTATTCAAGTTGTCTCAGATCTATCCCCCCCCCCCCCCGGCTTGTGACGGCGTTCTCGGATCGACGGCGTTCTCGGTCACTTGCAAGGGAACCCGCTCCTCTCTACCCGGCCCTGTTATTTGTTCCTTAGTGGAAAGTTAGGCAGTTCGCATATAAAGTAAATTGACGGGAAGGGGAGAAGGTATTGTTATGTAGCAAGGCTAGGCGACGCAATAATTAGGGTGCTTTGCTTAAAGTACTTTTCCGTAAGTGTCAGGATGGCCGAGTGGTCTAAGGCGCCAGACTCAAGGTTTCAACCTTCCCGGTTCTGGGTGTTCTGGTCTCCGTATGGAGGCGTGGGTTCAAATCCCACTTCTGACACATCTATTTTTTTTCTTCCCCCTTTTCCTTTTCTTTCTAGTATGCGTGTCCAGTGCTTACATAAAGTTAAAAATTAGCGCGACCGAAATTAAGAAGAAAAAAACTAAAACAATCTTTAAGTATATGTTAGTTCCTCCCACCTCCGGTTTATGCTTTTTCGTTTGACACTTCCCTTATTCGTTTA